ACCTTGTGAAAAGGTTAATGGGATTTTTAATGACCTTGAGTGGTCAAGGCCTCAATTTTACATTTCTTCTGAAAGAAAATGGAAAATAGAACAAGAAAGCTGTTCAAACTTCTGTGAATCTGGAAAAAAATTGGTTTACAGCAACAGTTCAGGTCACTTCCTATTTGATTTGAAAAGGTTTACCCATTCCTTACCTGGGCCCCGCTGCCATCGCCGCGGCGGTTTGGTTGCAGCGCGGAGCTGCCACGTGGAGGTTTTGGGGTCGCAGCGCACCGAGCTGACCAAAAAGAGCCCCGATGGAGACCCAGGTTCTGCAGCACAGCAGCCCTCTCCCAGCACCTTCCCCACCAAGCTCTCGATGCTGTGCAGCCCATAAAGCCTGCGTGTCTTTTGCCCTGGTGATAAATGTTCTGTCGCTCCTGACTCCACAGGTACGACTGCCTTTTCACGGACAAATAGCCAAATTGCTCCAGAACCAATTAAAGTCGGACCATAATAGTTTTCATCTCTGCTGCTTCTGTTTAAGGCTCAAGGAACAGTCTGTGCATCCAGTTGGCTTTCTCCAACTACCCTCCTGCACATAGGAAAGTCTCGTGTTGAATGTCCTTAGCAGCTTGAGGTTGGTTTCGGTCTGGTGAAGAGAGGCTCCTTCACTCAGTTTGACCTCACCTCTCCCTGGTCACACTGCAGTTGCGTTTGCTTCGAAGTGTTGTGTGGCCTTTGTTGTTTTGGGTATCTCTGACATTGTTCTGTCCTACTTCAGTCTTCAATATAATCCTGTTCACAAACTTAAATAGTTGTTGCTACTATCCTTCCAAATCAGTGCCTAGTTATTAAGGCATAAGGTAGCTAGGATTTATTTTTTGAAATAACTGCTGCTTCTTGTGATCCCATTTCCATTGTACAGTCTGTCCGCAGGTCTCAAAATGTTTTCTTAAACCTTAGTAATGATTGGAATCTGGTAATGGCTTTGGTGAAGTAGACAAATAGCATTAATAAGTCCTGCATTTGTTTCTTAAGGGTTTGTCTGACTCTTCTAATCTGAGCTGCACTGGACTGGGGATTCAAAGATGCTCGAGAGAAAAAGAAATAGCCTTTATGTTTAAAGAGAGAAGCTTACTGACAGGTGGCCATAGCTTCTGCCATGATGGAAAACCCAAGTTCTTCCTCTGTGCTTACAAGAATGCCCTTAATGCATTTGCATCTTGCTCCTTGTTTTCATTCTTTTGGTGTTTCTCGAAGCAGCTCAGTAGTTGTGTCAGATAATCTTCGTGTACATACTCAAAAAAGCACTTGAGTTGCAGGTAGGTTGCAGGTGTGTGTTTCTGTTGTGTTTTGATGATGAAAGGGTGGTGATCAGTGGAGCTATTGGTGATATACCATGAGCTGGGAGAGCTATGGTGGTGTTATGGCAGACAATCTTTGTGAGCCATCCTCCAGAGGGTGATTCAGATGTTCACCCCCACACACACACATTACTAATCAGTGCATCGTAAGAGTTAGTTAATGAGAGAGATCTTGCTTGTGAACAGTCAATACAGCAAGGCATTCATCCACAGGGTCATGAATGTGCCTTCTCTGGATTTATCTAATGTAATATATAGCAAAACACTTAGGGCACTCCATATGCAGCTATTAATTGCATGAAAGACCTGTCCATAATTAGGCTTGGAGAGTAACCGTAAGCTCTGGGATCAATGGTTCCTGACACCTGTCAAGTGGCAGGAGGGTAAAACCTTTTATAGCCCTGATGAATACTTGAGGAGTGGACTTTAAAGGTTGGCGAGTGGAAATAAGATGCTATAAAATGGGAACTTCCTGAAATGACCGAGCATTTTGTTCCTGTGGGTGAATTTCAGTGGTGGTATAATTGTTGGGAATTCCTTTGAAACCAAAGAAGCTGCTCCAGAGCAGAGTTTTGCATTATACCTTTGCACTTTGCACTGGCAAGGCAGCAAAAGAATCAAGTTTCTTTTCAAAGGTACATGGCATGAATTTTGACACTTGCTTCTTTCTGGGCTGTGAGCATCTCTCTGAAAGGACGCATTCCCTGTAGTTAGCGATCCTATATAAATGGAGCAGCCTGTACAATTACTTTATATAATTTGCACTCGTGCAAATTAAAAATGGCCACAGCCCATTGTTCTGAAACCACTCATTACAACTTCAGGTTTGGAAAATGAAGCTCTAATCAGAAAATCCTTTCTTTCTGCATGAAAATAGTCGATGGAGAATCTCTATCTGTAAAGTACCTCAGTTAGTAGAGAGAGCTCTGTGTGTGTGCATACCCATGCTTGTCTTTTTCTATACACGTTGTGTGTGTATATGTTCTCCTACTCTAACGTAGCAGGTTGGACATGCATGGTGCTTGCTGAATGCAGATGAGCACATACCCAATTTCTGGAAAAGATGTAGAGTAGGTCTGTACAGAAAGGTACTGTAAACTAAGAATTCCCAAAATCAGAAAGGGCATTTAAAAATCACTTGATTTAAATTGTGTGTCACTTCAACCTAATTTGTGGGAAGCTCTTAAATAAGTCTTCCTGTCTCCCCAAAAACACCCCAAGGATCAGTTCTCTAATGTACTGTTCTGCTGTCAAATCTGTATAAACAAGTATAAATGTTTAAAAAGTAAAGAATACTAATCAAGAGATGGAAGGCATGCACTGCTTAATAAATCTTGCCTTCAATTTATTTGTCTAGTATTACAAAGGCAGAGGAGATATCAATTAATATAGGCAAAGAGGACCCATAATTTATAATTAACTGGCAAGTGGTTTGTAACAAACAGCAGCACTGAATCTAATAGCCAGTAGAAAAATAACTAGTGTTGATTTGTCCCTCGGCAAATTAATAGAGTGCTTATCAATGACAGGGTTACATAAAACTGCTAAATAAATAATCATCAGTGAGTTAGAGTGAAGCAGATCTTTAACAAGCTTAATCTGAACCTCTTGACATCTGTAGACTATGAAGAGATTAAATGCTAAGAAAGAAGATACACTATGCACATTGTAAGCATGCTCAGTAGCTGTGCAAGATCATGTTCTTAGGTAATGAGAAATAAGGAAACATTTTTATTACAAAATTACATTGAAAAATGATTTTCATTATAATTAGACTGAAAATTATAAAAGGTATATCAAAGAAATGCTGAATTGGAATTAGCCAGATGAGAAGGGCACTACATCTCTAAGCAGTGGAAACACATCAGTGGAGTCAGGCTTGATATATTTTTGGCTCAAGGATTTTTTTCCCAGCTTTATTACTCACCTTTGTCCACTTCTGCTTTTTGTGTCACTTTTGCTGATATTCCCTGGTAGCTCCCTTAAATCATCACAACAGCTAAGCAGTGCACCTGATTTTCTGAAAGTCTCTTATTTATGAGACTGGATATATATGTACAGGATATAATTTTTAGATGTTTTACATTTTTTAATGTTTTTTGGGCAGTAAGCCCGTGTATGGAGGTCTCTCCAGTCCTTGCTTAATGATCCTACAGGTTTTGTCCTGGAATAAGATTGTCAGCAGGCCCAGCCAGAGCCTTGCTGGGGAGTGTTAGGAGGCCCCCTCTCCAAGTGTACAGAAGGTGCTCCTGAGCAAGGGGAGAGCAGCGATGCAGTGTTTTTCATTGTGCTTGACGCCTTCTATCCCTTTTCGTGCTCTGAGAAGAAAGACATTTTATGCAAGTGAGACTCCTGTCTTTTGGGGACAGGGAGGGAATGTGCAAGCAAAAGCAGGGCTGAGTAATTTTGTCAGGAAGCTTTGTTAGAACTTCGAGGATTTTGATCTGGAGCCTAAATGGAGCTGCAGGTCCTCGTTCTTTTTGTGCATGAAAGCAAAGCTGCCCTGACACAGGCGGGCAGTGTCTGCTGAAGAGCATTCTTCTGGGAGCTCCCACCTTCCCTTCCACCCCTTTTTATCCTCCTCGTCCTAAAGGAGCAAACGGACTCCCAGTGTATCACTACTCAATTGAGGAAGTTTTTCTTTTAATCTTTCCAAATGTGATAATGAGGCAGTCAGGTACCAGAGATAAGTAATTTGATGGGTCTGAATTACCTTAGGTAGTGTCATGAATAGGAATTAATTGTCTGTCTGTAGAGGAGATCTTGCTGGTAAGGAGACTAATTTCATTTTTTTTCCTAGTTTCATGGTTGGATGGCTTTTTGCCTTTGTGGTGGGGTTTTTGTTGTTGTTGTTTTGGTGTGTTGCTGTTGTTTATTTTTCTGGATTAGACTTCAGATTTTCTCTAACCTCTATCACAGCTAGCGAAGACCATTACTAGCAAGAGAAATGTTCCCTATATATCCAGTGACTCCTTTGTCCATTTTCTAGTCTTTTCTGCCAATAACATTTGGAAAGAAGGATTTTTTTGGTCCCCACATGGCACGAAGAGAAACTTTTCTTAATGGATGGGTGTAGAAACTGCAGTCATGAAAAGGAAACCTCGTACTAAAAATGCTTCCTTAATGTATTTTTGTTCATTGCTTTGCTGATTTTTGTTCTGAGAGTGAGTCACCACTTGAAAAGAGCAGAATTGGACCTCAATTTTATCTTTAATTTCATTAAATGAAACCTCTCTATGGTGGACCGACACCATCTAGTACTGTGCTGCAATGATGAATCAGCATTGCTCAGAAGTAAGAGCACTATCAGTTTAAAAGGAAGGAACCTTATGTGGAGTTAGGTTTAGAAGCATCTCAAGCTAAGTGCAGCATGTCCACACCCCTGCTCTGCTTCTCATGAGCTGAGCAGTATCCCAAATATGACGTTGTGTATACCTGTTATGTCTGTCTATCACTGTGATTTGCTACCCTTTTCTATTTTTTTTTTTGAGATAGTTTCTCAGTTTAGTAAAATCCTTCTACTCCCCCGCTCAAACTGCAAAGAGTTGCCTGATAGCATGCAACAATAAATCATAGGAGGCTGAAATAGAAACTAACAGGTTTAGAAGAACGTGAGTTTCTGTTGTCTAATTTCATGGCACCATCCTCTTCCAGGGCAGCATCTTAGCTCTGTGAAAACCCTGCATCAAGCCTGTGGAGAAGGTCCTGCCGAAGCAGAGAGGTGAGGTAGGTCCTGTACTCATGTTGATTCTCATGGCACATGTGCAATGACCACCCCACAAATCACGGGTCTTAATAATAATAATAATAATAATATCATTTTTTAGTTTTATTTTGTGAAGAAAACATGGCAGCTTCACATGTTGCTGCAAGTGCTGTGGTAGCCTTGCCATGTCTGAGGTGCTATCAGGGAGGTTACAGGGCATTCGTCAAAATAAAGCTGATGCAAACATGAATACTGCCAAGAATGGGTCCTTTTAAACTAAAAAATGCTGAAGGCTGAAAAGGGGCTAATTTATTTAAATTATCTGTATACATGTCAAGCCCCATAGTTTCCAGATGAAGCTGACTACTGTGAGTTAAAGAAAGCTTTTCTTAAATTTACCAACAAAAGCCTAACAGAGAAAGTTATACCAGAAAACCTGAGCAACTGAGAAGATAATCATCTGTAGTGATGCAGATGTGCAAAAATACAGTTTTCTGCTATTAAGCTTTTAAATGTCAGTAAATGGCAGTTTAGTAGATCATTTGCTAATAATGATTAAATTTCTCATTAAAATGTTTCCTTCATTATTCTTCAGGTAGAAATGTGTAATTCAACGATTGTTACATCAATTATACTTAAAAAGCTCATTAAAATACTGAAATATTATCTCTCGGAGCCAGAGTACTTTAAGAGTACTGTACTAATTACAAAAGGAATAAACTCTTGTAATATCACCATTTGAATTGATGCCTTATAAATTCTTAATGCAAAGCTAACATATAAAGTGTAAATCAAATATATAGATCCAATAAAACAAAACCTTTTTAATCTTGTTTTACCTTCAAAAGGATTCTGATTATTGTAATTAAATAATGCATGATATAATAAAGATCTAGAAAGTGTGATTATTTCATTGGCAATTGAATATTGGTGCTTTTTATTTATGCAAGCAATTTATCACAGACAATATGCATCAAGCATTAAAATATTGATACAATTACACCTATCCTGCTGAACCAATAAAAAAAACTGTGACATGACTCTCTGCTCGTGATACAAGGACAGTTTGAAATCCTTGTTAAATTTTAATATTCCGATGTGCTGGGTTATGCTAATTCTGGTATGGAATAATATCTCCGGTATCTACTGCTCTGCCTTTTATTTCTGTGAGATTACAAATCCGGCTTCACTTAGCTTGGCTAACAAGGACTGCTTTGCTTGCTGCTCTGTTGGTCACTCCTAGGAAGAAATACTAAAAGACAACTTTGAATTTCCCTTTTTACAGTTACTGCTCTGCTATGAATACGACTGTTTAATTTTGCTGCTGCTGTATCCTGTTATTCTTTCTAAGATTTTTACAACGGCTTCTGGCCCAAGTCAGGGATAACTCACCTGTAGATGGTGGATTTAGTAAGACCTGTTTCAAAGCAAATGCATTTCCATTATTGTCCCAGTTTCTAAAGGCTAGCATCATGGTGTCAAGATAAAATATAAAAGGAGAGATCATTTGCTTTCAGTTTGAACAGCAATGCTACCAGGTCAGATGTAAATTGTGAAATTGGGCAGAATTTCCATACCTTTAATCTTATAAAACTGTTTTCTTTCTAAAGGAACTAAAAAGCTATGCTTAATAGGCTAGTAATTATTTTGCCACTGTGCAGGTAAGCTGAGGTGCAGAGAGGCTGTCTACCGAGCTAGCCTCTTGTCAGCCTGATGAAAGAAAATAAACACCCAGCAAAAACCCAGCGGCCCCCCAGCGAGGTGCTGGGTGCCCACCTTTATTTCCTTTCTCAGCCAAGTCAACTGTCGTGTAAAGAGCTGGATTTCCTTGAATAGAACAGCACTGCCCAAGTTTGTAAAAGATCAACCTATCCCACCATTCATATACTCTAATTAATTTATTGAAGGGACATCTCAAAAATGTGACACATTTTTATAGCACAAAGGAAACAAAGTGGACTAAAACAAATACCTGCAGCTGTGCTGGCTTTCAGAAATGGCCTTTGGATATCACTGTTCTTTCAAGTGAGGACAGAAATTGCAAGCTTCTGAATAAACAGCAGCAGAAAGATCAAAAAGCACCTGCAAAGCATAAGGATTGTATTGATATGAGTGAAAGTAAGCTCTTTGCTGAGGGTCATCCTTGAACATGTACAGGATTTTCAGAGACCCTACAGTGACTCTTTCACCTCATAAAATTATAAAGCCATAATTTACATGTCTGATTCACCAAATTGATGACCACAAGCCAGGTGGTGCTGAACAGCCAGTTCTCTTTACACTCAGTGAAGGAAGGGAGCATTTGACACCTTGCAAGGTGAGAAGCTCTGTTTTTTATTGTAACTTGCCATGAACCTAAGTGTGTAGTGTTTTGTTTTTGTTTTTTACTATCTCATGACACTATCTCAGACACTATTTTTTGGCCGGATGCACTTGTTTTTCTCAGTAGATACTGCCATCACTAATGTCCCTATGTCATATTTATGAACTCCTGTTTAGCTTAAATAAAAGTCGGTATTACTCAAACAGCTTTCTTCTTAATTAATTTGCACAGATGCAGCAGCCATCCATAGGCACACGCAGGCCGGTGCCATTCCCATTTGCCTCGCTCCCAGCTCGCTGCCACGAGGAGGGGAGCAGATAATCGCGGTGCTGTCACGGCGGGCAGGGGCTGCGGGCTTGTACCCGCGTGCAATTTGCCAGCACTTTAAAGCCATTGCTGTGGGTGCATATTGGGCCCGCATGTGTACATATGTATGAGGAAAAAGCTGACTAATATTTGTGTGGTGGTAGATAACAGGGTTTTAATTCCGGCCTTCATAGCCATGCCTTGTTTGAGGTTCCCTGGCCCTGTGATCTGGGTTGTCTCTTTGCTGTAGCTAATTGGGTGATGGCAAAGAGGAAGGGCTGGCTAACGGGGAGCTTTGAGTCGGGTGTTTTAAAGAAATAATTCCCGGGACTTATTAGCACTGCCGGCTGTGTTAATGGTTTACCTGCTGGAGTAGCAGCCTGTGCCGAGAATGTGTGCCTTACAATATAGAGACTTTCTCTCTATGAAAGTAGCTGATTTAGTCAGAAAGGTGACAGTTAAGACTCGTTGCAGGAGAAATTTTTGCATCTTTGCAGAGTGACTTTTTTTTTATACTTTACCATAGTGGCTGTCCATCACAGTTGTTATGTATGCAGGCTGAGTGAGCCCGCAGGGGATCCTAGTTATTTACACTCTTTTTCAAGCTTCGAAGCTGTTATAATCATTCGCTGTCAACTTTGTGCTGACACTGAATTTTACTTTGTGTTTTTTATGCTCGGTTTGGGTCTAAAATACTGGCATCCATACCCTACACTGTAATTCTATGGGTGACTGAGTTGACCAGCAATATACAGTATTACTAACAGAGCTTTAGAAACCTGCTGCATATGGAGATTTCGGGATTTGTTGATTGTGGACAGTAAACAAAGTCCCCAGGCTTTATGCTTTTATCCTAGTGGTGGCCCTCAGGAATAAACTGTGTACCGTGTTTCATCTCATTGCATTTTCATCTTTAAAAAAATGTAAATATTATTTTCCTTTCCTACAAGGCAGCAAAGTTAGAGGAGGAAAACTTTTTCATTGCTGTTTTTTTTTTATTATTATTTTTTTTTATTTTCATACTCGCTTGTTTTCTCCAGGCCTGTGTTTTAAGAAATGCATATTTTTTTCTGTGATCACCATATGTTTCGCATGAAGCTGCAGATAGTAGTGGAGCTGGTAATGGGCTAATACTTCAGAACCAAACTGAAATAATGTGTTGTGTGAAATGTTGGGAATAAATTATCGTGTAAGAGCACGCATTGACAAATACATAGGGTTTTTACACCCTTTTTGGTTTAGAAAGGCAAATTTACATGCCCGTCTTTAAAAGTCCTTGGCCTGCAACGCAGACCAAATAAACCAACTTCTTTCACATGTGCACAAAACTCCTCCATTATCACCAGGCCCTGTGACCTGAAATGGCAGCACACCAACTGCTTTCTGCCCGTGTAAAATGTGAGATATTCGTGAACAAGTTGCCAGCTCCTGCATGAAATTTCAGGTACTCTGGGGCCCAAAGGGAGTGATCACACAAAATGATACGACCCTGTTCTTAACTGGACTTGAAATAAAACTGGTCAAGGAGCTTGTGTGCTTGGCCAATGTAATAAAGTAGACAAATAATTACTGAGCAAATCAAACACACTTACACCTCAGATGATTTTGAAATATTATCTATAATCGGGCACTTCTGTGCTAGGAGGAAAGGTTAATAAAGTAATTTAAAAAAGATTGTGTGGAGTATTACAGAAACAGAAGAGGACTGGTGATCATAATTGTTAATCTCCTGAAACACCAGTCCTCTACTGCACGAGGCATATATTTTAGTACGACTCCTTATTGTTCATTCCACTTATTACTATATTATACTGCTTAATTACCTTTTGTAAGAAATCTTATTTTAGCTTTCTTTTTTTTTCCTTTAATAACAAATAATGCTGATGGAAACGGTCCAGAAGAATACATGTACAGCTTAATCTTTAGCAGGTAGGGCTAAAAATAAGATTAAAACATGTACAGTATATTGATAGATATTTATTTGGAGACTCAATCACCACAGAAGCACTGTTGTGAAATACCACGATGAAGTGGATAAATATGCCCCCCTCCATATCTAGCCTTGTTGTGTATGAATGGAGCCTAATATAGTGTACAACAAGAAAGGCTGAGGTTTTGCTCTTTGGTAGTTGTCATTAGCTCCTCTGAACCACATTTCTAGTTCATGGCATTCCAGATAACCAAGATAAGGCTTTTTTCAAGGCAAAGAAACAGAAGTTTCTTTAGCTTAGGCAAACGACATCTGAGTACCGAAATGTCACCTTTATAAAACTATCTGTTGTCTGCTTCCTTTCTTTATTCTCAAGATTGATGAGTTCCTTATGTAAAGTGTTACTGAAGGTGGTTGAAATTTATGTGGCCACCACAAAGCACTTGTAGATTACAGAGTGG